AGCTTTAATATATTTATAACAATAAGCTCTATAATATAGAACGGTGAATGCTCAAACCAATTTTTTAATCTTATTTAATACCAATTTATACTCTTAAATGGTGTTTGACCAGTTATAATGAATTACCTAAATACCTAATCAATATTATATAATAATTAAGATAAGGGCGTTTAAATTGTTTACAAATTATTTTACTAAATAGTAAATCCGCTACAATCCGCTCTTTTAGTTTGATAAATATCGTCAAAACTTGAACTTTAAACGGTTATAAAAAAAACGAGACCATGAATTTTTAATATTTTTATATTCTATTGTAACAATATATCAGGAGCCTTGAATTAATTTTCACGCTACTTGACCCAACAAATAAAATTGTATTAATATTTATAGAAAAAATAACTAAAAAAATTTAAATAAAAATCGTCCCTAAACAGCTCAAAACGAGTCAATTTTTTTTCAAAATTGTATGGTGTATAAAAAACAAAAATATAAACATTCAGTAAAATTTTCATGTATTCTAATTCATGTAATTTTACAGTTATTCGTTTTTTAATCACAACAAAATAAGAAAATAAAATATAAAAATATGAACTTCAAACGCTCATAAAAATGAGATAAAAAATTACACTGCTATATTTTGTTTGCGTTGCTAAAAATGTTAATATAGACGGTAAACCCGCGTCGTCTCATCGAAAATTTAGTGAGTATATGCTAAAAAATAAAAGTAGTTGTGAGTATACTCTTAAATAAATATAATAGAGAAGTGAATTATGTGAGTATACGTCGTAAACACACCACTGCGCTTATTGTGTTCATGCGACGCACTCGCAAATACGTGTAAGGGTGGTGTCTACTTTTCAGGCTTTCAGCTCAATAGTAATAATAATAATATAAAATATATAAGCAGATAAAAATTATTCTAATAATATTACGAATGTCCATGCCATATAATCTATCTACATAAACATTATACTGCTTCGGGTCCGGGTATACGCAATTAGGTTTTTTCTTTTTTTTTTTTATCAGAATTTATGCGTTCAAATTACAGTGGAAATCGTTTAACACGACACACCGAATAACGTCATCACGTTTTCTTGGTTAATGCATCCAAATAGATTTATATCTTGGCCGAATATATGGTAGGTATACATATACATATATCGCCGTGTTATGTGTAAAAACCAAAATGGTATATGTATTACTAGTAACCCGACGACCACAGATAGCAAATGGACTGGACGTGTGCATATAATATATATGATATGTATAATAGTCAATAGAGGATGATTCAACAAGAATGTTCAACCCTCTTTTATCCTTTAATAATGTATTTATTCAGATTCTGATTTTGGGGAATTTTAAGTATATATATTTGCAAACCACATTTTCAAATACTTTTTTTTTTATTTTTCTGTTTTTCTATAGTCTATACCATTTAAGGATTAAGAAGGACTGTCCTATTGCGAAACCAACTTCTTTTTTTTAAATGAGAATCGCACTATTTTCTTTACAATAGTTAGAGCCACACAATTTTCAGGAAAATGTTGATGCATTATTTGATCCAATATTTGAACTATATTATATATAATAATATTGTCTTTTATAATGATTCGCATGAAATATAAAATACATATTATAGTACCAAGTAAAGTAATGTACTCTATAGTACATATTTGCTCATCCGATTTTTACAAATTATAAAATGTAAAAATAATAATATTAGGCTCTATAATTTTAGAATTATCATAGGCCCTATATCTCTTATAGCAATTTACTATATCTTTAGTACCTATACAAGGTTTAATAACCCGGGGATATTTAGTTCGAATTTCAAGCATAAATATTTCTATAAAAACTATCTGCTTAACAATTTACGATTTATATCACCACAGGACGCAGTAGGTAATCTAAATTTTAAATAGTATAATAATTAATAGTATAACAAAAATCTAAGAATCTGAAAACATGATGTTTTACTTAAAAATCCCCATTACGGAATTTAAGTAAATGATGGATAAATTGAGAAAATAAAGGAAAAATTGATTGTGAGCATTCTTGGTAAATATATATTATATATACTACATACTATAACTTAATCGTAAGACTAGAAAATTGTTGCCAGTAAATATAAACGTACTATTATTGTTAATAAATGAGTTGTCGTCTTGCGGTTATGACGTGTCGTCGGTTAACGAGGCGACAGGTTGAATATAAAATGTACAATATAATTTGTAATGATCAATACTTGTAATAAACGAGATTATAAATTTATAACATACACAATACATACGTCTCATTCAGCGAACGAAACTGAAATCCCAACCTTTGACAATGACATAAATATGCAATGGAAAAGGGTAAATTACAACGATTTTGTATGACTAACAAAAATGAATAATTAATAAGTAATTATTATTATATAATACGAGTACCTATATGAAAACGTTTTAATCAACTTATGTAATAATATATTTATATATGTACCCTAAACAGCAGTGGCGTAACCAGACTGCGGAAGCTGAGGGGAATGCAGCCCTTCCTAAAATTTCAGGAAAATTAAAAAAAAAACTTTCAGTGTTCGGTGAACGTTTACGTAAAGTAAGACTAAAATTACAAAGGTTGATGCAGAAGTCTAAAACGCTATATACTATAATTACAAACGGCTTCAGCATACTAAACTTATGTAGTTATGTGGGATATTATAGTTAAGCCTCCCCTAGCTGTATCCCAAGCAAAATCCTGCCTACATCTGCATTGCTACACTGCAGTACAATATGACATCGTAATACGGATAAATGTATTTACCTAAATGTATAAATACAGATGAGGGTGTATCGCATGAAGACAATTTTTCATTGACATTTCTTTTAAATATATATAGATAGATATGTTACATCTTTGTGAGACACTCTGTATGAGGCAAAACAGAACATTGATAACCTCTCCCCCTCACTGGGTCACTGTTATCTACTTTTACGACCATTCATGCACAAACAATGAGTGGGTGATATTAAATTCTAACGTGCTTTAAAATTTTACTACCTAGTGATTGTTGTTATCATTCTGAGCAAAACACGAAAATTATGTTATTTTTTTCACACTTTTTCGGACAGGGAGTTATAGCCCAAAAACATTATCCCAAATTTATTTATCTACTAACATCCCGCAGGAATTACAGCGTGTATCCCTAAAAGTATAGTGTTTATTACAAATTATAGGACTATATAACATATAATTACGCGAATTCATAATATAATTTTTTTTTTCAATTGTATATTCTGCACTATCCAGTCTATATTATGTAGGTACTTTAAGATTTTTTCCGCATATAATTTCCTTTAATAGGTATATGTTTTAGTGTTTTACCCAAATATATAACAACAATATAATACATGACCAGGAAAAATATTAAAGACATTTAGACGTTGTGATTTTAAACTTTTTACAGACCTCCTTTAATTTATTATTGCTTTCAAAGTTCAAACACAACTCATCAACTCACCAACTGACTCTCCCTGACTAAGATTTAGACCCCTAAAAATATCCCTCATTGGTTTAGATATAAGCCCCCTATGGGTTATTTTAAATAAATAGTTTTGTTAGGTGGGTGTAGCCCCCTCCCAGAATTTTAACCCTAGTTGCACTTATGGAGATAAGCAATATATAATGTGATGACTGCCCTAGACCTGAATACCCCATATCTGCTGCAATATCAATTTTTAACTTAAAAATAATTATAGGTTATAGAAATAAAATGTATATTTACTTATAAGATATAATAATAAAACGAAATAATGGAAGAAATTTAAAATTATTATTTTATACCACCCAACGATCCATAATTATATACGAGTAGGCAACTAACTTAAAGTTCAAGATTTTTCCGTTTTCTAATAGTTTACCTACTAACTAAGTATTTAAAAATAATCGAATGACCAAATATCAATTCTACGTCATTGTAGCTCAGAATCTAAAATAGACTAACCAACTCTACAATAATAAATAAACAATACCTAAAAAGAAATAAAAATATTACTATTCTTATAAAAAACATTATTACTATAAGATTGTTTTAGTGTCGGCTACTAAGTCATTACGCACCCAAATGTATATGACTTGTCCCGATAATATTATATTACCTAGTTATACCTATTATAATATTTATATGTAAATCTATGGTTTTTGTTCGAGCAATTATTAATATAATAATAAATTTAACTGCAGTACCTATATGGCTGTATGGCTATATGTAATTAATAATGTGCAGTAAACGGACTATAATACAAACAATAATATATTATTATATTCGTATGGTGCAGTATCTCACGCATGTCTTCAGAGCTTTTAAAAATTATCTCATTACTTACTTCGTTCCCCTTGTATAGGACGAACAAAATAATTTATAGCGAACCATTTGCCATTTAGCAATTTATACATATATATATATATTTCATGCACACAAGAGATACGAGGGATAAATGCGGTCCTATATAGGCTCCGGTAAAGTTTACATTTTTCCGGCTATTTTTTTTTTTAATTGGTCGTTTTCGTAACTACGGTATAATATGCGCAGACCCCGCGAGATGGTGTGCCTCTACGGTCAGTTGTAGACGTATAATAATATTATTATATAGGAAACGACGAGAGGGAGCGCGAGCCAGCCGGAGACGTTCTCTAGAGCATTGTGTCCTAAACAGTGAGAACCGCGAGACTATGTTCGATATCGTTGCATTGTTTTCGGTAAACAAACAATAAATTATACATAAGGTAATATACTAATATATCGTTTTTTTATGCAGTCAGATCGCTTGTAGATCACGTTGGAACACGAGACGGAAATTCAATTATATTTAGGACCACATCGCACGGGTAGTTTCTTTAATTAAATTTTAGTTTTGAGGTCGAAAATGACCAGAATCCAATAATTTTTATAAATTTGTTTCTCTACGCCCACTGAATATGTGATAGTTTTCGTTGTTTCAATATTATTTGAAAACAAAATGTCTGTCTGTTTTCTGCGATGGACGAAAACAACGATGGTTTGGTATTTCGTAATAAGTAAGTTACACTAAAAAATATTATTTTTCAATACTAATAATAAGTAATTATAATAATTATAAATTGATATTATACATAAATAGTACTTTTATATTTATTATTATTGCCTCTGTATTTTGAACTCTCAAATTTGATTCCATGCGTTTTAAAAAAACCCAATAGCATATACCTAAATCATTGAATTTATTAATAAATGTTAACTGAAATACCTACCTATATAGTTATATCAATTGTTTACATTCAATAATTCTGAGACCATATATTTACCTATTTATCATTGCCATTCATACTTCTGTCATAAACAATGAAATGAGACGAGATAGGTTGATAGCCAAATCCAAACGAATAAAAAATCATCAAAATTAAGAACAACCAAAAATAAATATTTTATTTTATTATTTCATTGAATTAAAAATTATGATGCAGTAGCTTTCAGTTTTTAGTACATAAAATAAATCGTGGTCGAGACAAATCTGATAAATAACCATGAAATTATGTGTATAAATTTTTCAGTATTTTTAATATAACAATATTTAATAAAGATAGGTAGGTATATTAAAACATTTTAAATGTAATAATTACAATAAATATGATACACAATATGTATGTTGTATATAGACATATACCTAGTATAAACTATAAAGTAAAAAAGTATAGTATAATTTAGTATTAGTATTAGTCAATTAACAGTAAGAGTGAGCACCATTGTAAAGAATCAAAATAAACGAAATTATTGACTAAAATTATAAATACTAACCACTGAAACTATAACTGTTAAGTTGTTTTAATTTTGTTTGTTAGATAAGATAGGAGATAATCAATAAAATAAAACTATATTCAGTTTTACGCACGTTTAAACTCTAAACACAAAAAGACTAATTATTTTATGAATATGTTAAAGGTCATACTAATTTCATTACATAACTATAGTATAATACAAATCATATTGTATTAGCTGAGTTCCTATATTTTTATAAACAGTATAATAATATAATAAAAAATAGTACGAATTTAAATTTAAAATAATAGATAGTTCCTATTATTTTAATTAAATATGCTATTAATAAAAAGTTTTTATAATGTAGCTCACATTTAGTTCAAGGGGTTGGAATTAGGTTAGGATAATTTAATGTAAAACCAACAATAATAATTTTTTTTTTTAGCGTTTATTAGAAATATATAATCTGTAAATGAATGTATAATAAACATAATATGTGAGTACCTACTGAGTAGGTAATTGATATGGTCACGAAAGACAGGTTAAAATAAATTACCCAGTAGTAAAATTTTTCGTGATTTTTTTTCTTTTTTTTATGCAAATTTTAACAACTAAAATAATAAGTAAACACGGATATAGTATAGTAGCATAATCTTATTATTATAAACTATAATAATTGATGTATAGCATACAAATTTTATACATTTAATATTAGAGTATATTTCCCAACAACTTTAAACAAGTCAATAAAAGCAGATAAAATCGTGGCGATAAGTAGAGTTGCCTATAGGTATTACAAATTGAGTAAATACCTAATGATTATTAAAAATTACCTTTTTTCTAAAATATTACAGACAATAGACATAATATGAGAGATATTATTTAACTACAAGTCCTACATAATAACATTCTTTATAAGAAAATATAATATAAGACCCATAACAATACTTTTAAGATTACAATAGCGATATTTGTCATATAATGGAACGTTTTTTAGATTTTAAACTAATCAATAGCAAACGAAAAGTTTGAACAAAAATAATTTGTTGGTTCAATACGGCTGTCAAACAAAATAGATAATTCATTTTAAGTAAAGAAAAAAAGGATACAACGTTTCAAATTTAATTTCGTTCCACACACAGTTTGACAAATGTATGGAAAAAACGATATATTATTCAAAATGTTTGCAGGTAGATACTAGAATACTACAATGTACGCGACATGTCATAAAATGATACAGAAAAAAATCACACTAAATCGTGACAGAAACGAAAATTTAATTGACAGTGTTTGTATTTCTCTTTTATTGCGAAGTTATCAAGAGCTATGTAGTTTTTATTGCACATACGAATATATTATATATAAATATATAGAAGTCATATAGACATTTGCCATAGACTTCTACAACATATAGCTGGAGACCGTATCCTGGAAGATTGTCATCTGGTATAATATTTCGTAACAAAAATAAAATGTCAAAAGTTTCGTCTAAAAGAATTAATTGTTTAAGAAAAGTTTTAAAAGTTAAATACAAAGTTTTTGGTTTTATTCTGTTCATAACAATACAATTTTCAGAAAATAATATTATATCTTATATTCTTATACATAATGATTTATGAGTTAACGTCAAATAATACACTCAGTCACTCAGAGAATAAGCATGATTATATTCATTATACAAATATTATTTTATAATGTTTCATTGTATCAAACGTTACTAAATATAATGTATTTTTATAGGTAATGTAGAAAAATAAATACGTTTCTGTCAATAAATTGTACGTACAAAATTGATCTAGGAGTTACCCAAACTTAAAAAAAAGGATTTCATATTAAACACTAGTCACTAATTATTACTTAATTATGAGATCAGTATTTACTGTATATATATATACGTCCATATACTGTTACTAAAAGTAAAATAAAATATATAGATTGGATTTTTTATAAATTAATTTTACGAATTAGAAAGTATTCATATAATAATTGAATACATATATAACTGTGTTATGAATACAATATAAATGACAAGTTTAATTTTTGATAGTTTGGCATTTCATACATGTATAAGTACAACAATGATTATTTAAAATTCTCGTGGGAGAAAAATAATAAGGGGTTATTATTAATGTTATTATAACGTGTGAATGAGCAACACATTGAATTCCAAATAAACATTTTGAACTATAAAATGTTTTTTTTTAACGCTTATGAATCACCCGTGGAAGTGGTGGAACTCAGTTTTCGATAGATGATGGTAGGTATATGTATTTATTTAACTTCATCATTCATGTTCACGGAATTTTATTTATCGACTGTCTTGTCCGGTATTTATAAAAGCGAATTAATTTGCGTGGGATATAGGAACATCGTAAATTTAGTTATTCCAATTTTTTTTTTTTAACTCGTTATACTAGAATAATTATAATGTTGACGAATTAAATAAAATCCAAATTTAAATTATATATGAATGAAAATAAACAAAAGGATATTTGTAATAATTAATACGACGTTATTGATTAGGTAGGTATATGAAATAAATAATACCATTTTATTGGATTTTAATTTCGCATTTGCGAAATTATAGAATTACGAGTTTCTTTAGAGCGATAATAAGGATAAAAAGTTAATAATATTTAAATTACTATGCTTACCTATAACACCGATTTATTTTTTAATTCAGAATAAAAAATGTAACGTTTTAAAAAGAAAAGATAAATTTTCGTGATATTCCTGAACACTTTGTTTCAACTTTTAAATGAATATTACGGACTATAGTATTACGAGTATACAGTTCTCATTTTTTATAATTGTAGTTGGCTACCTAAATGCTAAGTCATTAAACCAATTGGCCATAACACGACTCCCTCGGTCCGTCAAAACTTAAAATACGAGTTCAATGAGTCAGCCTTTTCGTGACTATATATCGTGTTCACAAATCTAGCAAAAATAATAAATGTGTTTTTCATTCACTTGCCCGTTGTCAACAATATCTTTATATTTGTAATAAAAAACAATTTATACGAATTCTATGCAAGTAAATCATGTAGTGTAACGATCCGTGCACTCTGCCACCAAGCGTCCATGCGCGTCCAAATATATTATATATGAGTTTATGACAGGGTAGTAAAATCGTCAGTGAAATTGAATTTTTTTATACGTTTAAATTTAATCAAAGATAAAGTTTAAGGGGGCTGGAGCGTAGTCCATTCTAAGGAGTAAAAACTAGGCAATTTATATTGCAGTGCATATGGGTCCGTGTCAATGTGTTGGAAGTAAATGAACATTAGTGTGTGTAATTCGTAATTGTGTACTCTCCGAACTCACTATCCGTTCAAAAACTGGTTTAACATAATAGCCATTGTCATTAGACATGCTGCAATTCACCGAATTTACAATAACTATTACCTAATTACGATAACATAATAATAATATTATTGTACTTAATTAAATGGTAATAAATAATAGATAATACTTCATAGTAAATGGTTTTTTTAAATTACTGCACTACATAGGTATACTTAATTTCGACCAACCTTGAACTTCAAATAATTGTAAAAAAAACTGTTTTTATATATTTTTTAAATTTGTTGGTTACAGTATCTTATTAGGAGTATCTACTTACGTAGAATCTTATTTTAAATTTTTAAATATATTTTTTCCTTAGCTAAAAAAATTGAACATTTTTAACTGCGAATTAATTTGTAAACTTTCAGTATGATAAATTGCTCAAAAAGATCAAAATATTTTGAAAGTTATACCATATATTATAAAATAAAAAATATAAATATAAAAATATCAATACATCGAGTATCTAGACAAGCATTTTTAAACAGGTATACCTGTATAATGTAAAATATAATTTTATTGAATAATCATAATGAATATTATAATACCACGGAAATAAAACCTATTACCTATACCTTTATATAATATATTCTGTACATAACATTACAATAGGTACTAATAAATAATAATCATTAAATAATTGTGTGTGATTCCCCGAATAATACCGATTACTTTGTATAGGGGCATCATAGTGACCGGATATGTACGGCTGTGATTTTACCTACGCGCATGCACATGTCAACCACATATTGGCTTATAAAATGAATAACATTTTTTTTTTCAAAAAATACGGCCAATGACTTCAATCACTACGCTTAGTAGAATGTTCCGATTTAAATTTAGAAAGCAGATTTGAATTCTCCTCTAAATTTACTATGCTTTGACTGTCGTACATTTTTCATATTCAATATCAATGGATTTAAATTTGAATTATAAAAATGATCAATTTTTACTCTTTTTGTTAGTAAATTCCTAAGTAAAAAAAATAAAAATCAGAAAAATAAAATTGTCAAAGCATAGATAATTTAGTGACGAATTCAAATCTGCTTTCAAAATTAAAATCAAAACATTATATTGGGCGTAGTGATTGAAGTCGTGAGCTATGTTTTTGACCGAAAATGAATCACGCTCCAGCCCCCATAACTAGTAAATAAATGTTTATTTTCAACTTTATATTTCTGCCATGAAATCGACAAAAGAATCGGTAAAAACTTCAAATCTCTAATATACATATTTTTTAATTTTCATAAATAAATCAAAATAAGACTTTTTAAAATTCTAGTTATTTACCTACCTACTTCCAAAAAGCATTTAATTTAAATTAAAATTTTTTTATCGAATATTTTAAAATGTACTTATCATAAACTTTTTAAAAATACAGTATTTTAAAGAAAAAACAGTAAAGTGGGTTTTAATTCGTTCATGTTCAATACATTTTTTTTTATTGCAATGAGTAGGCACTATTTATTGCATAACTTTGTCCTAATTCATTTGTAATTATATATGCGTTAATAATTTGGAATAATTTAGTTATAGATCTAACTTATTCATCATCCATCAAAAATGATTTATCATGTTATGTGTGTTCACCAAATTCAATTTCTGATAACACAGAAGCTTCAGAAATCTCTATAACTTTTTCAAATTATGACATTGAAAAAATACCAACTTGTGGCTCAAATGCTGCAGTCAATTTTACATTGAAATGTCCTGAAGGATACAAAGGATGTCTAACTAAAACTTATGGTAATACAATTAATTTAGTGTTATAAATTATTATTCATTCATTTTTCTTTTTTTTTCTTTTAAAGGTAAAAGTATACTGAAATCTTGCAATGAGTATCCCATTGATGATTGCAAAATAGCAAATAATGTGAAGTATTGTTTTTGTGATAAAACTTTATGTAATAATGCAACAATTTTAACTCCAGTTCCAATTTCATCAGATGATGAAGATTTAGACCAATCAGCAGAAGATGGAAGCGGGCTATTTGATGATTTGACTCAATTAGATAAACATAAATATACCAACAAAATTATTAACACTACTGCAATATTTAATATATCTACAAGGAATAATTCATTTACAAAGGCATCAGCTAATAAATTAGTACTGCTTAAGCATACTTATATTTTAAGTTTAATATTCATAATTTATAAAGCTATATAATAATTATAGGCTCTTTATATAGTCACATACAACATCACAGAGAATAGTGATATTTTTTAATAAAACTATGCAATATTGAATGTATTATATTTTTATATTTTAAATTTTTGTATATAATTGGTTAACGTTCCTTGTAATTTTTAAATTCTGAATAAAACAATAAAAATGACAAATTACCTAACTTTTAACAGATACATTTTGAATATTTTTACTCTCTCATTATTAATAATATGAACAAATTTAAATTTTACAATTAATAATATAATCTATAGTTATATGAATTTCGATTAAAATTGTTAAAGTTTATAACAAATAATAGGATATCACTAAAGTGAGGGTAGTACCCCACAATGGGTCTAAGTATTCAGCCTGGTTTTATATTAATGTAATAATCTGTAAATAATACATTTTTATTATAGATACAGATGATATTATAATATAGAAATTAAGAAATTTTTTTTTTTGTAATTGTTCCTACATATTATAATATTTATATAAGTATGTGATCCTAAATGTTACATGATATTTATTTAATTTGTAGCTACCTATATGATACAAACTTATTTTTAGTCAATGTTTAATTAAACAACAGTATAAAATACACTATTTCATCATACTATTTAAAATGTTTTTAAAATACAATGACAATTTAAAATTAATAAGTACAATGGCAAAATGTTTGACACACCTTGTATTCCAATTGTTTTCCTTGTTAAAAATGTTAAAATATACTATAATAAAACCTTAGTCTTTCTTAGTTTTTAAAAAAATCCTTTATTCCTTTATTTGTGGAAGTACATAAATGCATATGTGGTTGAATTTTAGGGTTTTTTTTTTATGCCAACCTTGTTATAACTATGTTAAAAATAAAAATACTTTATAAAATAAATGTATTTTTTTCTTATTACTGTCGCTGCTGTTTATGAAATGTGAGTGTTTTATTTTTATTTTGATATGTTCAATGGGGATCTGTAGTTTGTTATTTCAAAATAAATATATTGAAACTTCTAACTATAAATACTATTGTTAAAACTTTGAAAACAGATTAAATATTCTAGAACATACATATTATACATAACATACATGTATATACATTACAGAGCCATTCAATAAAGAAATTGTAAAACCTAGGAGACAAGCCTAATATAAAATTAAAAATATGTTTAATATTCACTCTTTAACTGATTAGTCCCCCTATTTCCTTGAAAATTTGGATTTATTTCATGTTTACAGATACCTCCTTATAATTAAACCTATAAATGCATTTGAATTTTTGTTCATATTATTAAATATTATTAACAAACATGGATACATTCCATAGAATTATAGTTTAAATGCTAAATCATTCACAAACTAAACCATACAATTAAGTATTGTCTACCATATATTTTAAATAGCAAGTTAGTTCAGATTTTATGATAAATTTTACTATGGCAGTAATAATCAGTTTATAAGTATTTGTTGGATTAAAGTATATATTATTACTAAGCTACTTGAGCGTTATTGCATACCACATTATGACTTCCACTATTAGCGGTAGATATTATTGAAGTTGACTGAAAATAACTAACAGTAAATTAAGCAGACACAAAAGTATAAGATGTATTTAAGTATTAAGTGAAACAAACTATTATAATTCAAATATTTGCCATATTCCTAATAATAATGAAATATTTTTTGTGCAACTAGTTAGTTTGACGTCACATTAAGCATTTTCTAGTTTTTACTTTATACTTATGTAAAATGTGGGTATATTTTTGTTTTTACTGGATACCCTTTTTTTGTAATTTATTTGTTTTAACATATGTAGCTTAGTATGCTAAAAATGATTGAGAAGTCAGATTATGATGGTCGGACTTAGTTTTGATGTCATAGACCCACCCAAGGTGGTTTTATATAACAAATCAAGGGATGTTTTCAATTTTAATTGTTTGAGCGAGCGAGTGACCACGCCGAGTGTACATGAAATTACTATAAATTTCAATCAGCTATAACTTTAAAACTAAATCCAACTGCAAATTCTCACTTCACCATTGTTCTCAACATGTTTAACTACATACGTTAAACCTGAAAAATGATGTCTAATAAATAGAAAAGTTCATAAATGTGTTTGACATCAACGAATTATTCAGGCTGGTTTTCAAACATTTTTGGCACAAATCTTTGATTATTAATTAAATAAAAGTAACTATTATTATTTTTTTAATTGTTTTCATTTATTATTTGCTTACCTACTGAGAATTACAACTACTTTTTTGCAAGGCAGATTATTTAAAAAGAAACTAATCAATTCAGTACAATTTAAGTACTCGGATTGATTGCTTATTCTAATTCTTGAAAAAGCGTTGAAAGGAATTATTTGTATCTGAAATTTGCATGTCACCTTACGTAGGTCATGTCCAAAAGTGACATAGGTAGTTTTCATTACTAAATTCGAAACTTGGAAACACCATTCTAAATCTAGAGAATATTGTTTTTTTGACTCACCGTCAAATCGTATATCTTCATAATGGATGTCAGTTCGTTCGGCTAATTTTCGTTCTTCCTCTTCCCATTTGAGACGTAATTGTTCTCTACGCATATCTGATGAAAAGAGTTCAGATATTTCTTCAGGATTCCTACCTTCTTTTACAAATTGTTGGGCAGTTATAGGTGTTTGCTGTTTTATTTTATTGGGTGATGGTGGTGGTGGTTCTAATTCTTTTTCAATCCTTTGATCTCTATTTTTGAAAAATTCTAGATCTGTTTTTAAACATCTCCTAGTACGCCCAAAGAAATCCGTATAGTCTATCCTGAAAAAATTAATTGTACATCTAATTGTAAAATGGATAGTTTAAAACTATAATATACATACATATTATATATAGGGTGATTATTTAACATAATATAAATATAGAATTATCCGATTTTTAAAATAACATCACAATATTAAAATAACATTACAACTTAATTTATTAATAACCATCCTATTTAAAATGTATTAATTAAATTTACCAATCATCATCAGCTCCTGAATCATATTTATCTAAATCTGCATCGGAATCAGATTTTTCCTGCTCCTTAACATTATCTTTGGTGGAAGATACAGGATAAGTAGTTTTATTTTCAGTAACTTTTTGTTTAAAATCAACTAAAAAGGTTTTGTCTTGTTCACTTACCATTTCACCATTAACCAGTTTGTCATACAGTTTTGCTTTCATCGTTAAGACATCTCTAATAAAACAACACAAAACATAATAATTAATTGCAGAACATTTTAAATTATAATATTATTATTATAGTACATATAGTAAATTCCAGATATATTAAATTGTACTCATAAATTACCTTGATTTTTTCAAACTATTTTCAACATCTGGCGTATATTCTTCTTCCAAATCTTTAGCGTTTCTTTTTTCAACACCTTCGTTAGATTGAAGAAGACATGATGGTGTCTTAGCACCAGGTATTGGTCGTATAAATGTATCACCAGAAAAACTTTTTGCTTTGTTTGCTTCATCTTGTTTGCGTAGAAGTTCTGCTTTTAAACTTACTAGCTAAAATATAAAACATATATTTATTTGGTTACTACATTTTTTGTGTTAAATATACCTAATACAAATTAAACAGTATTCGTTCAAAGCTTTGCATATAATATATATTATATGCCTATAATCTATACATATAATATATAAAATTATTATAAATGGTAATGGTTATTCAAATAATAAATGTATGATTTATTAATTAAAGGTTCCTACTTAGATATTTTTTAATTATTTTGGATTTTATAATAATCATATTATAATAATATTCCACACAAATATAAAAATATTATAATAATTGTTCTGAAATCAAGTTATGACGCAAATCTTTCAATTACAAATAATTATAAAATCAACTAAAAATTAATAAATAACATAATCTTCTCCTACAAATATATATAGTAATATTTTTTACTTACAGATGATTTACAAATATCTAAAGATTTGCTCATTATATCTGTTTGTTTTGAAAAAGTTTTTAAGAACCAATAAATTAAAAATTAACTAAAACAGAAACAAACATAAATTATCATTTTACTAGGTACACAAGATTTACACATTTAGCTAACATGAGAAGTCTTAGGACTTAGAATAATTAACAATGAAGATTAATACATGTTTACATTATTCATTACTCATTAATAATAACGGAAATAAATAGATTCTGTTATATTAATATATTAATAATTATTATGTACAAGAACACGATTTAAGATATTATACGATAGTCAATGAGCAATAATTATTAATTAAGAATTAAGATAGTACTATCAAATACCAATGATAATAATCCAACAGCAATATTGATAAAGACCAAGTCCCAATGTCTCTGGAAATGGATAGGAAATGCTAATTGCTAATATAAACATTCAGTGAAATGTTCATGTATCTAGTTGGGTTTCGTTAGGTTTAGTGAGGTTTAGTGAGGTTTAGTGAGGTTTATTCTAAAGGCATTGTCTGGTATTATTATTTAGATTTAAATAATTTCGATAACGGCAGCGCCATCTAACGCCGCCGAATAATTTTTAACACTTGAAGAACAGGCCCTCGCAGCTGCTTAATTTCCTAGTTAGATAGCGTTGTCATATACGATTTACAAGTTATAACACGGACATCTCTAAGACACTGCAATTTTATTAAGTTCATAGGTATTTTTACAATATTGGATATTCACTCGATTTCTCATGAACGATTTTGTTATTTTGTTGTAACTCAAAAACGAAACACTACATGAAAATTAATTAAATTGTATTTATTGGGTAATAGGAGTAAAAATTTTTACGAATTCTTAACTCAAAATAATTTGCTGATTTTCATGATTTTTCCATATTTTGTCAATTTTTGAACTTTAAATGCTTATAAAAAAAAATTGTGACTAAGGATTTTTAATATTTTTCATCTGCCTTTGAAACAATATACTAGGAGCCTTCTATTAAATTTTCAAGCTTTTGCAACCAACAAATAAAATTTTATTGA